CCTCAGGAGGACCAGGACAGCTCAGAGGGGACAGGGACATCTCTCAGAGGGACTTGAGGGACAGTGGAGACACCTCAGAGAGAGCTGGGGGACAGGAGAACCCTCCCAGGAGGAAATGTGGGGGGACAGGGGAACCACTTGGACCTGCAGAGGACAGAGACATCTCTCAGAGGGACCTGAGGGACAGTGGAGACACCTCAGGGGGACCAGGACAGCTCAGAGGGGACAGGGACATCTCTCTGAGGGACCTGAGGGTCAGTGGAGACACCTCAGAGGGGGCAGGGACATCTCTCAGAGGGACCTGAGGGATGGCAGAGACACCTCAGGGGGACCAGGACAGCTCAGAGGGGACAGGGACATCTCTCTGAGGGACCTGAGGTGGCAGAGACATCTCTCAGAGGGACCTGGAGGACAGGGACATCTCTCAGAGGGACCAGAGGGATGGCAGAGACACCTCAGGAGGACCAGGACAGCTCAGAGGGGACAGGAACATCTCAGAGCATCCTGGAGGACAGGGAGACCCTTCAGGGGACACAGGGTAGAGCTGAAGGACACTTGGGGGACACTGGGGCCCCTCCAGCAGGACAGTGCTCTCATGGACAGTCCCTCAGAGAGGACTTGGAGGGTCACTGTCCCTCCCAGTGCTGTGTCACCCCCAACCCCACCCACTGTCCCTTCCCTGCCCTTCTCCAGCTTCCAGCTGGATTGGGATCATCCCCATCCCACCTAGCATAGCTGACCAGGCACAGCAACGTGGTCTCCAGCAGCTGCACCACCAGCAATGGTCCCTTCACCTGCAGGAATGGCACCTGTGGGGACACCAGGGTGGGGACAACAAGGTGGTGACATCCCTGTCCTCCTCAGGAAGCTGATGGAGGGAGCAGGGAAGGTCTCCAGCGTATCCCACCTTGGCAAAGACGACAGAACCCTCTGGCATGGCTGAGATTGTCACCTCAGAGGCATCCAGGGTGGCCAAGTAGTCAAAGAAAGCATCTTCCACGGTGCTGGGCAGGACGGAGCGCAGGTAGGCCACGTCTGTGGGGACACAGCTTGGTGGCACTGGGGTGGGTGGTCCCCCCCAAGAACCAAGTGGGGCTGAGGGGACATCTCATGGTACCCCCAGCCTGGAGGTCATGGGTGGCACAGCCCTGGTGGTCACCAAGTCCCCTCTGAGGGAGGTAGGAGCAGTGTCCCCCAAGTGTCCTTGAGGGTTGTGGCCACCCTGTCTCCTCTGAAGGGTCTCCTTGTCCACCAGATCCCTCTGAGAGATGTCTCTGTCCCCCCTAAGTCCCCTCTGAGCTCTCCTGTCCCATGTAGGTCACCTTGAGGGATTCTCCCATCCCTCCCAGGTCCATCTAGGAGGGTTCTCCTGTCCCCCAGATCCCTCTGAGAGATGTCCCTGTCCCCCTTAAGTCCCTTCTGAGCTCTGCTGTCCCATGTAGGTCCCTCCAAGGGTTTCCCCCATGCCTAACCAGGTCCTCCTAGGAGGATTCCCCTGTCCCTCAGGTCCTTCTAAGAGATGTCCCTGTTCCCTGCAGCTCCTCCCAAAAGTTTCCCCCATCCCTCCCAGGTCCACCTAGGAGGGTCCTCCTTGTCCCCCACATCCCTCTGAGATGTCCCTCTCCCCCTTAATTCTCCCTGTGACCTCTCCTGTCCCCTGCAGGTCCCTCCAAGGGTTTCCCCCATCCCTCCCAGGTTCATCTAGGAGGGTTCTCCTTGTCCCCCAGGTCCTTCTGAGATGTCCCTGCCCTGTGTGAGCTACCCTGGTCCCCTGCATGTCCCCCAGGTCCTTCTAAGAGATGTCCCTGTTCCCTGCAGGTCCTCCCAAGTGTTCCCCCCATCCCTACCTGGTCCCCATAGGAGGGTCTCCCTGTCCCCCAAAC